AAAACTAATCGTTTTTGTAAATAAAAATTAAGACAAAATAGTTACTAATAGTTGACTATTTTAGTTACTTTATATAAAGAATTGGTACAACTAATACACTTTTGCATTTAATTCTTCATTCGGGATTAGTGAGTTTTCTCCTATCTGTAAAACTACAGTAATATCTGTATATTAATAGGCTAATAGCAGTTACCGATGCAAGACTCTTGCGCAAGATCAAGACCAAGAACAAAACTAGTCTTGGTCTCGCATGTGGGCAACACTATTGCCAATGTTTCTCTAATCCAGGCACCATCAGGACAGATGAAACAAGATCACATATGTGCAAAAAGAAAAAAAAAAAACATATTTATAGACACAGGAGGTTCCATAGAAAGGATAATATCTAATTAGGAGGGATAAAAAAAGGAAAAGAAAAAAAATATGCATACTAATAATATAATTATATAAAAATGTGTTAATTAATGTATTAAAAAATAACAAATTAATAGAGTGTCATACAGTGATTACTTTTCGAGCTGTATGCTTATTTTACTCATTTTATTTATGAAACTATTGTACATAGATGTGAATGAGATTTATTTATTAGATTATCATTCAGCTTTAGTCTATTATTTTATTGATCTTGTATATATGTCTATTAATTCCATTTATCTCTTATATTTATTCGTATCTAAATATCTATCTATCTATCTATAATTTTCTATTCTTTTTTTTTTTTTTTTTACTTTTGATGTGACAGAATGTAATATTTCTAAATAAACAAATAAAAAAAAAGTTATTTATATTTATTATCCATTCTTATGCACATATTGTGTGAATGAATACTGTAGCCTTAGTACCAATGTCCTTCAATGTTGGCAGACTGTATTAATACTCAATAAAATGAAAAAAAAAATGGAATAACCGTGTAACTATTGAGCTTTAATGGTATGCATGGATGCAATATACACTTTCGAAGTTTTTCTTTAGCATTTATTATTTTTTTCATCTAATTATTTATTAAATTTAAATATGTCTGCATATATATGATGTAGTTTTTTCTGTCCTGGTGATACCTGAATTTTTCAAACTTTTGTAGGTTTACTGTTAAGTTGTATGCTTGAAACTCATGGCTTTATAGTGAGGATTTTTTCATTTATAACGTAATTCAAGATAAACTTCAGTTATACCTACAATATATAATTTATAATGTTTAAATAACTAAAACTAATATATATTGTAGTACTTCACAAACTGAAAAGCCTAAAATGTTCCTTATTTTTATGTATATTCAAGAACGCTTATTGTACCATTAATATAAAATGAAAAAATGGAAATGAATTATCATATCTGCGTTTTCAATCCATTCGATATTTATAGAATTAGGAGCGTGTTCTCAAATAAATTAATATATAACTCGGTCAGGAAGTAAGTTGAACGTTGAAGACAGTGAGAAAGAAAAAATAGTAATGTATATTTTTATTTTGTGTCAATGTTTCGGCATAACTTTCAAGCCTTAATCAGTGCTGAGTAAATACATGGTAATAACTAAAAAAATTTAAAATATATGAGAATATATTGTCATCTGATAATAAATAAAGTTTAAGGAGAGAATAAAATTTCTTTTTAAATTTTATTCACTCCAATTTAATTTAGTACATTTTTGTAGCTAAAATTAGAATCCCTCAATCTGAAAAAAAATCATTTATTTATTTTTTATACAATGTTCAAAAAGGAGAATATAAAACGCACTGAGTGTTTACAATCCAGTGTTTGTTTTCCATGCATTACACATTTGAATGATCCACACAAATGCATCCCAAAAAAGAAATTGAGCACAGTGCGGCGTTGAATGGACACAGATAAATCATGTAGTTATCATTAACTTTAATTTTTTTTTTAAGAGGTGTATCATATCTAAATAATTTAATTGCTTTTATAATTAACGTCAGGATTTCGTAATGACGAATTAGGTATTTATGGATGTCATGTAAAAAATCATTCCTAATAAAGTGTGAAGGAATAAACTGTAAAGAAAATAAAGGATTTCAGTCACATATGAGACTGCCTTATAAGACTAAATACTGGGTTAGGATTCTCGAATGTTATTCTGCAAGCAAGTTCGTTCATAAGCCATGGAATATGTTACCGAACTGCCGGCACAGATGAAAACTTAATGTTAAATTTTTATGAAGAGAAGAATAGTTGGGGTGATCAGTCAAATAAGAAGGCAAAAATAAATGATACTATTTATTTTGATATTAGCCGACGTTTCGACCTGAAATTCAGGCCATCTTCAGGGCTAAGAAAAGAACCAGATAACAAGGTATGAGAAACATAAGTAGTGTAGGAAAAAAAAATAAAGTAAAATTCAGTTAGAATAATGACAATAGTAAGAACAAAGAGATAAATGATAATAAGCGGTACAAAATGTGGAAAGATGAAGTAAACATAATGAAAAAAAAAAAAGATGACATAATTATTAAAATGGGAATCTTAGAATAAAATGTAAAAACAGAAAAATATGAAGTTATATAAGAAATGGAAATAAACAGTAAAATTAAGATATTGTGAATAGAATAGTTAGATAGAAAATTGAGATTTCATTTATAACGTAATTCAAGATTAACTTCAGTTATACCTACAATATAGAATTTATAATGTTAAAAAAACTAGGACTAATATATATTATAGTACTCCACAAACTAAAAAGCCAAAAATGTTTCTTATTTATGTATATTCAAGAATGCCTATTGTACCATTAATATAAAATTAAAAAATGGAAATGAATTATCATATCTGCGTTTTCAATCCATTCGATATTTATAGAATTAGGAGCGTGTTCTCAAATAAAAGAAAGAAGATTTCTCAATTTCCTATCTAACTATTCTATTCACAATATCTTAATTTTACTGTTCATTTCTTATATAACTTTATATTTTTCTGTTTTTACATTTTATTCTTATGTTCTTATTGATTCCCATTTTAATACTTATGTCACTTTTTTTTTCATTATGTTTACTTCATCATTCCGCACTTTGTACCGCTTATTATCATTTATCTCTTTGTTCTTACTATTGACATTATTCTAACTACTGAATTTTACTTTAATTTTTTTCCCACACTACTTATGTTTTTCATACCTTGTTAACATTTAAAATTCTTTTCTTAGCCTGATGATGGCCTGAACTACAGGTCGAAACGCCGGCTAATGTCAAAATAAATAGTATAATTTATTCTTGCCTTCTTATGTGACTGATCACCCCAACTATTCTTCTCTCCATTATTCACGACAGCCAACCATTTGTCAATTATGTTTTTAAATTTTTATGATTTTTGTTATCGGCCGTACTAAAACCAAACAAAAATCGATCTCAAATAGGATGCAAACAGGGGTAAAAGTAAATGTGATGTGTGAACTTACTCTTTCAAAGTTCTAGCTTAGTTGCCTCATATCCTGATGATGTTAGGAATTAATTCCTTCGCAGGAAATTCATACGAATTCTGGAGTTGGCCATTCACCTTCAAATTCGAAAGAGTGAAGTAATACAGTTTTTTTATGATCCGGTGGTTGCCCTTTGTACAAAAAATATCTAATAAATTAAAAATGTTGAATAAATTTTGTTTCTGTGTCAAGTTTATTGTAATTAAAAAAAAATCTGAGTGTATTATGAACTGTCCGCAATTGAAAATGAAAAGAATTGAATAATTATACATTGAAGCTCTATTTTATCCGAAACGTTATCATTTAGCCGCACTGCGCGGGACTTGGATCAGACTGAACATATTACTGATTAAAAGAAAAATATTTTAATAGTTGACTGATACTCTTAATGTTTCTGATGTTTAGGGAACGGATTTCTTAAGAAATTAAAAAGCCATATATGATATAAAACTGTAAATCAATTAACAGAAAAGAAGAGGTAAAACTTATGGCAATTATATTTTTAAAATATGAATATTAAAGACAATATCCATAAAAAAAAAATCATTGAAAAATATTGATAATTATAGAAAAATCATCAGAATGTATTATGAACTGTTCAGGATTAAAAAACAAATGAAATGAATGATTGAAGCTCTGTCTTGTCCAAAACGCTATCGTTTATCCGCAATTTACGGGAATTTGATCGGAATTGACATATTACTGATTAACAGAAAAATATTTTGATATGAATTTTTTTAATGAAAATATTTTCGAAGTATAGTTGATTAACAATGCTACAGTTGCTGATATATAGGAAACGGAATTTTGATGAATGTAAAGCCAAATAGGAAACACAAATGAAGAAATACACAGAAAAAGAGATAGAAATTATGAAAAGTATATTAAAAAAATATATATATTAAACATAAGATCAAATAATGCCCATAAAAAAATTGTTTTAAAAGATATGAAAGGCTATAAAATTGTATTATGAACTGTCCGCCATGGCGTTGTAAGTTCCATAAAAACATTGATTAACAAAAATATGACAATTATGTTGTCAAATGATATATTCAATATTCAAATATGCAATGGTCATTTGAAGTGGCGCAATGGTCGTTTAGACTTTTTCTTCTTTCAACACGATTACTGTAATTCATTTCCATCACTTATAAGATTTTTTTTCATGAAGTGAAATACAAATTTGTCCACAAGGTCTTTTTTTTTTTCATTCTGTACTTGGATTGTTGAATAAAATATAATTAAAATTTAAGCAGTGAACAAGTAACGGTACTCAACTAGTCATTGAAAAGAACGCAATAAATATAGTAAAACGAGGAAATTTCTGAGCATACTTTCGATTTTGATTGGGAGAGGTGACGGACAAAAAATAAAAAATAAAAATAAAGGCTGTATTTTTTATTATGTGTGAATATTAACAAATAGTCCGTGGTACAGACCCCTTTTTGTCGAATTATTAACATCCGCATGAAACTTCGTAAATAGTTTTATCTCATTGTAACCTACAAACATTTTATTTACGAAGCCACTTGGAATTGGGGCGTTTTCAATCTGGTGGGGAGCAAACTTTATCTATTTAATTAGGTATTAAAAATACGTAAATACCCATTTCGTTTCTACTTGGATTTTACCGTAATTTGATCACAAAATCGATAAGAAATGTGGCCTTCACAAATATTGGGTCGTTTTTCCTGTATAACCTTGTTATTTTGAAAATTTGGGAGTGTAGGTCATGCCAAACGGCTCAATATTTTTGAGGGCAACTTTTTTTATCGATTTCGTGATCAAAATATCTGACGATCCAAGTAGAAAGCGAATAGTTATTTTCGTTTTTTTTTTTTTTGTACCTAATTAGATAGACAAAGTTTGACCCCCTCCAGATTGAAAACGCCCCAATTCCAAGAGTTTTGTAAATAAAATAGTTGTAGGTTACGATGAGATGAAACTATTTATGAAGTTTCAGGCGGATGTTAATAATTCGATAAAAAGGGGTCTGCACCACAGACTAAATAAGTATATACATAATAATTAATTGTTCGTGTCATTGTAGGTTTTTATTTTTATTATTTTTTTTTTTTTTTGGTTTGATATTCTCGAAAATATCTCAACAAAACAATTGAATATATTATGTACTTGTACACATTATACACGTTGATTCACGTATTGGAGAGGCTCCATTGCATTGGTACTTTTCCAGCTTAAAATGAATAATGGTAAACAAAGAGAGTGTCAAAGGAATATTTAAAAAATCTGTATTTCTATTATTCGTATACAAAATAAAAATATGTGAAAATTATTAAAATGCCTGAAAGGGTTTTGATGTTATTAATACATTAAAAATATAAATAAATCTATAAAATCCGTTCTCTGTTGATCTGCCCAAACGTTATAGCTCATTATACATGTTTATTAATATTTGTTTTATACCCCTTACAACCAATTCCAAAGCTTTGTTTTGGTTAGTTAAATATGGTTTGTTCTATTTTTTTTTTTAACAAATTAAGTTAAATATTATCAATTTTTTTAAAAATAATTTATAGGGTAATAAATTATAAGTGTTGCTCTACGCAAAATTTTATAGGGCGTTGTAAGTTTAAAACGAAATTAATACATCAAACTAGACTAATATTATACGATATTAATACTCACATGATACGAAGAGGCTGCTGGAGAGCTGACAGGCCAAGAAGAGGAGGGACATGAGGATAATTATACCTACGATTGAATAGAGTACGCCGAGATGCACCAAGGCGAAGATGTAGAGGGACTTGTGGCACCAGTTGTTGGGGTCGAAGAGCTTGGGCTCGAACTGGGGCCAGTAGATGCTGAGGATCCAGGTGTTGCCGCAGACGAACCAGACGAGAAGGAAGGCGGTTAGCAAGAAGTCGGCGACCCTGCTGGGAGCGGAGAGTGCCGGGGCCATTCCGCGCTGCTGCCGCCGCTCGAACCTCCTCGACCGCACCTGCCTCCAGATCATCCACAACATCTTGATCGTCCCGAAGGAGCCACCGACGATCATGTAGATCGGGATCCTCGGCTCCTTAGGGCAGTCTCTCACGAACTGGATACCTGAACAGGCGCAAAGGAAGTTAGAGATGTTTTCTATTTATTAATTTAACTCTTATGTGATAGATAAACCCCAGTATTTATTCCTTTATGTGACATTATGTGGAATGAGAAGGAATATATAGGAATGTGAGGTTGCACTATGAATCGTACTCAATTGTGCAGTCGACAAATTATTCTTTGAAAAGTCTGATATCGATAAACAATCGAGGAAGGAGGGAGAAGGTTGGAATAGGACCGGTCAGGTAGTAACAGTTGGAGAAGGACGTTGGAGAGAAGAGAACTCACCCTAGGCCGGTAGAAAGGAGGTTGTCAGAAGAGGCACTGCTCTGAAGATTAAAAAGAACAAGCCTAAAGGTATAAGACTTTAGTAGATACCTTTATTACAATTGTAAAATAAATTGTTTTGTTAGAGTGAAAAGTCATTTATTTATTTAGTTGTCCCATAGGCCTCACAATTGAAGAATAACAAACCAGGTGAGTCAATTCATTCAAAGTGTATTTACATAGTCCTTATATATTAATATATAATATATATTCCTTATATATTAATACACAGTAATTATATATATATATATATATATATATATATATATATATATATATATATATATATATATATATATATATATATATATATATATAATTACTTGTTTCTTCTCTCTCAGTGTCACAAAAAGTATTAGGTTCGCGAATTCCCAACAACAGTTAAACACCCTATCTATATCCAGTGCCAGTGTTTTATTTTAATATTCACGAGTGTAAATAACCTAGTCCCCGATAAAACGGAAGGCCAAAAAGATCATAAACAATTAATTCTTAAGATTATTTACACTTTCCATTATTTCTTTACTTGTGTCGAGGTATGTGTGTATGCAGAGGCAGTATATGCAAGTTATCAGAAGGCCTCGACAGTGCGGATTCAGTATTTAGGGTGAAATGACTGAATGGTTAAAGGAAGATGTTTGGATGGATGGCCTGGAGTGACAGGTGGATGAGCACCCAATCACTCTCGGCCTGCGGTGTAAGGGATCAGCCTTAACACTCCGCAAGGATGGTAACCACAACCGGAGGGATCAAACTGCGGACTTGTGGGAGGATGAGATACTGGCGGAGGGATCAATTTCCTGAATTAGTAGAAAGGACTACAAGCGGACGGATCAGCGTCCAACTTCCATGAAGATAGAGAAGAGGAAAAATGTATCAGGATGATGTTAAATAAGAAGAGTTAATCAAAATGAATAAAGTTTGTTTCTTGGATCCTTATCTCCAGATTGCGTACGGATAGCCCAGTTAAAGAATGATTATAGAAGGAAATGTTGGGGATGCCATTTTTGACTTTAGGAAATTGTTTGGATTAATAAGGAGGTAAACATACTAAAAGTCCCCACTCCTTGGTGGTGAGCCAGATGTGGGGGTGCCTAGGTCACTTTTTTCGATTTTTCACTTATATCAGAAAAACTATCCATCACATCGACAAAAACGTTCTGTACAAAATTAAATCTGTTAAAATTTGCTATATGATTGATTATTATATATCTTTCTTCGCTACCTCGCTTAGTTTCCGAGATACCCGTTCTCAACTATGGCCATGATGGAGGGAGGGCTTTCAACTCTCTGCCATTAATCCCCTGGCCCGAGAAAACACCGTATAGTCTAGGAAGAGGAGAACAAAAAAAATATCAAACATAAATTAAATGGTAACATATATTAAATACCTTAATAATAACCCTCTTAATATTTTTAAAATGATCAGGCACTGAAAATTCTGTTTTCGCGGTGGTATATTTACTCGAAATCTTATTCGGATGGGTCGGCAATTATTCATTGAATGTTCTTTTCCTCTTATGCAGACGATACTTAAATATAATACTTTGTTGCATTGAATAATTTTCGATCTGTGATTGTTGGTAAGCAAAGCCTAGAGGTATGCGGCAAACAGAGGAAGCAGGGCAAAGCCCCCAGGACTTAATACCTGTCAACCAAACTCCCTCCTGTGGTTTAGGGTACCCTCTTATTACTCAGCGGGTGAAGGCAGCTTCTTATTACCTATAAAGATTTCTGTACTGTGCAACTTCTATTCTGATCCATCGAAGTTCCCTAGATTACAATTTTAAATATAATTATTTCCTCTGTGTCAATAATAATAATTGAATAATTGATTAGTCACTGGATGTTAAAAAAAATTGGAAATAATTATGAGATGAAAATATTATATATTTTATACCTTTTTCAATTACAAACTATCCATCTTTACTAATAAGGGTCTGATTTAGATCATTTTTCGTTCATTTTCTTATTTTCTTAAAATTAGTTTAAAAGCGGAAATTCTGAAAATTTATCAAAATTCCATCAGAACCTTATCAATCATCCAAATCCCCTAGCCCAATCCCTATCTAGCTCCACTCATCCCTACAACCCTCCTCGATGGTTGAAGCGGCAGTGGCCTAGAGATCTTTTTTAGTATTTATTTTGGAGTTCTGGCAATGGCCAGATTCTCCACTCAAGACATGAATAAATGTGGCTAAAGCGCTCTCGCTCAAACTCAACGGGCTTTAGCACCGGTGAGGCGGTTGAGAGAGTAGCGCGGGGATTTGGGTTCCCCGCCTGATTGTATATATTGTATATAGGTGTGACTGTTTTTATGTTTTAATTTACTTGTATTTAGGTTATTTTATTTTTTTATTGTATATAGTTTTTATTTATTATTATTTAGTTATTATTTTACTTTTGTTAATTTTATTTTTTTTTTTTTGTATATACGGTGTGAATGTGTTCATTTATCAATATAATTATTGTCCCTGTGACAGAATATTATATGTCTAAATAAATAAATAAATAAAAAAAAAAAAGTGGAAATTAAGTTGTATATTCATCATTTTCCATGATATTAATGGTGGATTCGTATTAGATGCCAGAGAATTCCGTGAAATAGTAGAGTAAGCAACAAAATAACGTTCGAAGGTTTTAGTTCTGTGTGAAGAGTTTAAAGGTCAGAAACACGTATATAGATATTTTATTTTAATAAAATAACCTAACAAGATATAGTCCGATGATAAAATAGCATAGTCAGTGATAAAGATCCCTTTTTATCGAATTATTAACATACGCCTGAAACTTCTTAAATAGTTTCATCTCATCGTAACATACAACTATTTTATTTACGAAAACACTTGGAATTGGAGCATATTCAATCTGGAGAGAGGTAAACTTTGTATATTTAATCAAGTACTAAAAACTAGTAAATACCCTCTTACTTTCTACTTGGATCGTTAGATAATTTGATCACAAAATCGAGAAAAAAGGTGGCCTTAAAAAATATTGAGCCGTTTGGCGTAACCTAAACCCCAAATTTACTAAATAACGAGGTTATATAGTACAAACGGCCCAAAATTTTTGCAGACTGCCTTTCTGCCCATGCTATTCACCATTATTTAACTATCTTCAGTGAATAAAACACCGAATCATTTTACAACTGGTTGTTATACTTGTTGATTAATTCAGAAATATTTAATCAAATAGAACGCTCCATTTTATATTTACATTAATCGAAAGGAAAACATAGGATTAATGTGGTATCAATTTCCGCCGTCTCAGCAGAAATGTAATTAGTGATTCCATCGATTTTTTTTTTAAAGGGGCTGAGAACACATTCCTGCTGTACTTCATTTATTTAATGGAGAATGGAATGATCCACATTTGGAATCGGCGGTGAGAAAGCAAATATGATAAATTGAGAATTCCCCAAGCCATCTATTTGTCAATCATTAGTCTAATCCGTAATTAAATAACATCTTATTTGATTTGGGGAGGGCATTTTTCTTTTCAAAAAAGTATATGATAAATAGAATATAATAAGTATACCTTTATGAACGTTTAAATGTTAATTATGTTTCTTCTTTGATCCTGACATTGCGATATTTTGCATGTCATAATTTGATTAACTGTTGAGATATTAGTGAACGAACACTAGTTCCTTTCGTCGACAGAGTATACAGGGGGATCTAAGGAGGAGGAGGGGGATTTCAGGCTGAAGCCTGACAACAAAAAATTATTGTTGTTCGTCTCATTACATTTAATACAGCTTCCAGGATCACTTTAACACGTTTTTATATATGTTCTTAGTTTTTTTCTTTTTCTTCCAAAGTAGTTATCGTAATATATATATTTATATATGTATAAAAGACTTTCGGATGAAGCCCCTCCTTCCTCCCCCATCCAAATTAAATCCTGGATCCGTTAGTGATAGAGTAGATATGTTCTGTTTATGATGTCGGAAGCGTTTATATTTTACATACTAATCGATAAATAAAAATTGTTTATTTAAATATGAATCTGATGTTTAGTCCGGGAATCATTTTGATTGATCATAAATTACAGACAAGATATAATAACATATTCATAAGATAAAATTATAATTAAATTCCAAACTCACCCATGATGAACATGATGATGGGCAATGCTGTCAAGCATACTAAGGCAACCGTAACAACAACTGAAACATGAAATGAATATATAATTATTAATTACTGTAATATAAACAAATAATAATTAAAATGAAATATTATATGTCAATATGCCGTTATTATTAATTACACCTATAAAGATTTTATTATTATTCGGTAGGTATGGGCTCTCCAATATAAATTGAATTGGTGAAACCATTTAGTATTTGATCAGTTGTATGATTCAAATATTGTTAGCATAGATATTGAACCATAACCTGTAATTTGAAATGATTGTTTCTGCGAAGATGAACTTCATGAGATCTATGTAGACGTATTCTACTACAAATACAGGTCAACTTGTAAAATTAATTTTATTCTATCTAAATATGTAAGTTTGATTCTAGTTTCACTTTAAAATTATATTCTAAAATTTTTTTAATTAAATTAAAATATTAACATGTGGAGGCTTAATCATAACATAAAATTTTTTTAAAATAAATGTTCCCATTAAAAACGTAAAGGGTTACCTTAATATTTTATATGGCTTAACTTAATTTTTTTTAAAATATAGGTAACCAATTAAAACGCACATTCAAAGGTGCCCTTAAATGAGATGTTTGACAAAATAACACATTTTATTGTGTGATGCTTCTCAACAAGACAATAATTTTATAAGATGTTTAGAAATAGAGGTGTATTTTTATTTTCTTCAAACGTTTATGCATACATTTTTTTTATTATTATTGAAATTTACAACTGTATTAAATAATAAATAAAACAAGTAAATATGAAACAAGTAACATGATATATTACACATGAAGGGAAAATACCCATTAGTAGCACTCTAATTATATTTCTATATTAAATTTATTAAGTAGTACGTTTTTTTATCACGTTAAGTAAATTTTGAATTTTATATTTTATAATTTCAGCTTTTAGTTGGTTAGTTAATTTGTTGTAACATGTCTCATCTGATGGGTGTCTAGTCCTGTGCCACTTCGATCTTGCTCTGCATTTTTCTCTTAATAAGATTCTAATATGCTGTGGCAAATTTGTCTGTTGGGAGTTGTTAATTTTATTGGTAGATGTATTATCGTTTATTTTGTCACTTATAGATGTAGTAAGTTCTTCTTTGGCTGTGTCAATTTCATTTACGTCTCAAGTGGAATATTTAGGTCCAATTTATTTTCCAGGTCTTTACGAAATTTGTCCCGGTTTACTCGTCCTGTAATCATGCATAAATTTTAATTTTGTTTTGAGCCATCAAAATTTTATGTTGTTATACTACATGAGATACCGCAAAAATGACCTCTCAAATTCAAAGAAATTTAATATACAAGTATAAATAAAATATTTATACATTAAAATAAAATATTAAGTATTTCCAAATACTTGAAACTTTAGTAAGTAGGCAATATTGTCACCGTTTCAATTGTATAAAAAAAAAAAATGAATTATTTCAATCAGCTTCTGATAGATAAAATATTGTATACTCCACGCAGTTTTTTTGTTAGTTTTGGAAACATTTTCAACTTTCAGGCAAAGAGAAAAATGACAAAAGAAATATTAAGTAAATATTCTTGTATACAATATTTGCAACGGTGCAGTTTGTTCTAACCGACCTCTGGTTATTCTTTCGTTTATTTTACTTGATAATATTTGAGCTATCTATTACACCGTTCTGTAAAAAAACAAAAAAAAAAAAAAACAATATTCACTCTCTCGAGAAATTTTTTATGATTTTCATATTTTCTTGTGTGCTGAGTTCGAATCCAAAGTCCAAAAAAATCTATCAGGCATCATTAAATAAAGGTTGTTTTTGAAAAAAATAAAATAAATAGCATGTTTTTTCTTACTTCATTTATTTATTCATTTTCTTGTGTATAATAATAATATAATGTTTTCTTAATTTAAGTGAAGAACTGCAGTCCAAAAAATGTGATTGTTTATTTTATCGTCTCGCTAGTTCTTATCTTTCTGATTTTGTTCCAAGTTGTGCTTTTCGTCAAGTATAGTCCGAAGTACTGAATACAACTTTTTGAAACGTACCTAGGTTTGTTTAAATTAATTTTAATTTAAATCAAGTAATTAAAACAAATAATAGAATGTAAACATTTAATAATAATGGTTACTTTTTATTTTCTTCACCATATTTTTAGGATAAAAGAATCCCTGTAACACTACGCCAATTAAAGCCTTCCAAATAAAAGTAATCGACACGTGTTTCAGAGCTAAAAGCCATGGGACGTTTATTTTTTTTATTTTTTCGTTTTATGTTTGAAGTTATTTAGTCATCAAATATATTTTTTTCCAAAATAATGATTTATTAATATTTTAGTTTAAAGTAGTCAAAATTTTCCATTTGGTCATCATTCATTATTAAAATTGAAGTATCACTTTCATTTGTGAAAGGATAATCTTCATTAGAATTTCCTAAAATAAGTAAATTGAAGAAGAACACAGTGTATAAATAATCTGTCCAAAACAAAAAATAAATAAATAAATAAAAATATACATATTATTAAATTTTATGTTTTCTGGATTTTTGTGAAAAGAACTGTATAAAAAATATATGTCAGTTTCCTTTTTTTAAATTTAAATATGAGTTCTACCAATGGGTGGTTTCTCTTCATGCTGTACATGTCATGTTACCAATGTCACATTTACTTATTGTATTTTCCATGTAATACAGTTGTAAATCTCAATAAAATAAAAAATAAAAAAAAATAAAAAATTTAAATAAAAGAACATGTATGGAATGGTAATTATTTTTTTAACGTCACAATGATGTTAGTTTCTAAATTACCAATAAAATATAAGTTAATTAGGTTACATTGGACATTATTTCCAAGATTTGTAAGTTTTTTTTAGGTAATGATAAATTAAAAGTTATTTATACAACAAAAAAATGTACCTCCCCGGCGGGGAATCGAACCCCGGTCTCCCGCGTGACAGGCGGGGATACTTACCACTATACTACCGAGGACTGGTTGGTAATTTTCGTGCAAGATTTTGGGTTGTATAATTAATACACACCTTGTAATCATGCCCATAATCATATGGACGTAATACTAATATGCAGTAAATTACGGGGGGATGGAGGGAAAGAGACGAACTATTCATCATAACCGTATGTAATTAAAAATATTTTTACGAACTGAATTCAACGATTTTCAAAAAGGTAATGAGTAAAATATCTAAGAATTATTTCTTGAATTAATTTTTACAAATTAGGATTGAAATTTGTAATCAAAAATATACTAAAAAAAAATCAATATTCCCAACCCTTGCATTGTAATATCGGCGCATCATCGTAACTGAAAAACGTGGCCGCATAAATTATTTTACTATGTTAATTTAATTTATTAAATTTATTTTAACTGTGTTTTTTATTACTTCAAAAGTTTAATTAATTAACTTAATGTAGCAAATTAATTGTTTGGCTTAAAACACCTACTATTGTTAACGTTTATGAAAACAATACAAAGTTTATTCCCAAGTTTTTATTATAGATATATGTGATTAAGAAGGAAATATAGTGAAGGAATTGAATACAATAGATATATGTGATTAAATGTTTTTTTAATATAGATGATAGATATATGCATAATAGATATATGCATGAATGTTTTTCTTTTCTTATTCATTTTTTTAAAATTTATGTTGTATCATATTTTATTTCATGTGTTTTACTAAGCTTTCTTTTCCTTATTTTTGTCATAATTTCTATTAATTTTGTAATTGTATATATTGTATGAATGAGTTTTTTGTATCTCAAATACTCAATGCTCTTGATTGAGACAAAATGTGTTTAAAAAATAATAAATAAAAGATATAAGTGATTAATTATTAAATAATTGTTTACATATTTTTCTAATGGTATGCCAAAAGCAGCCTTACACAAAAAGTTTTTTGCACCCAGATGCCTATAGCTTAAATTTTATCTTGATTTTTTAAAAATTAAAATATATGGACAGTTATTTAAGTGAAAGTAACAAAAATAACAGGGTAAAATTCAGTTGTGCATTCATATGCATAATACCAAACCTTAACCTTTATACAATCTACAGTTATGAAAAGTTTACAAAAGTAAATTATAAATATTGGATTTTACTTTTTTTTTTTTTTTTTATACATTCGATACTCTAATAGTAGTTTTTCCCTTTCAATCAAATGAATTTCCTGGAAGGACTTTGCTTAAACGTTTAGTATTAGGATTTTTGAGCTTTGTTAATCGTTATGTTTATTCATTTTTCTACCAGCCTTCTTGTTATTTATTTAAAAAAAAAAAAATAGCAACTAAACCGGTGGGAAAATCGTAAAAATAACAAAGCGAAAACCATATCATTAAATCACCAATCTGGAGGGGCAGATCTTAAGGGGCACTAGACACATAAAAAAAAAAAATACGAACGTATTAAAATAATTAAATTTAACCTATCAATAAAGTAATTGTATTAGAGAAATAATCAATGAAATACATTTTAAAAATTACATAATATAAAACAGCTTAAGAAATAAATTTAATCTTTTAAGGGAGGGGAGAGTATGACGTCATTGCCTGGAGAAGCCGAAGGTCTAAGGCCGGCACTTAATGCAGTAATAAACCACCGTCCTTACTTTATTCCAGTCTTGCCAGGACTTTCGGGCTGAAGCCTCCCTCTCCCCCCACAATATGGTAAAATATAACCATGTTTTATAGAAAAAATATTAAAACTATCTCTTAAAATATTATTTTTCGTGTAATTACATTTAATAGGATTTCAAGAATAACTTAAGACACCATGTCATATAGGTAGTTAGTTTCTTTTCTTTTTTCTTTTTTAATTAATTATGAATATATACTTGAAAAAAAAAAGCTTCGGGATGAAGCCCCCCCCCAAAAAAAAATTAAAACCTGGATCGGCTAGTGACTCAAACCAATACTTTTTAAACATTAAATAACAATTATATCATTTTCGTCAACGATAAAAATTCTACCATCGTTAAATGTACCGGATCTTCCTTGGAGTAGAAACATTTTTATTACCTCAATTTAATTTTAGCG